TTGATGCCATTTCCATCTATCGACTTGATGCCATTTCCATCTATGGACTTGGGCTTTTGCCCATTTTACTTGAACAATTGTTAGCAATTGGAGTAAGTCATCAATAAAACCAACCCAACACCAACATGTGTGCTTTCTTGTTACTCCTTTTTCCTCCCCGCTGCACACAGGAATGCGCCAGCGCTTCCCGAAGCCTTTCAAACATCAGTGCGTTGGAAACCGCCGATGCTTGCTTGATCAGCCGTTTGCAGTGCTGATGTCTGCCACGTGCTGAAGTAAAGAATAAACGAAGCAAATAGCAAAGGGAGGCCGGCCGCGGGCACTGCATCCCTTCCAGCGCCGACAGGAGGATTTTGGGGAGGTGCCCGGGGCTTACAGGACAACGGCTGAAATGTTGTTCCGACCAGTTTATTAGAGATCTTAATCAGGGAGGTGGGGAAGGGGAGGACGAACAGTATTTTGAATGAGGGGGATGGGGAAGAGAAGGAAGGCGATAGGAAACATAGGAAAGGAGAAGCAAGGAGTCTCTACAGGAAGCAAGAGGGAGATAGATGGTCACCACCGTGGATCCAGCATGGTTCATAGTTCAGTCCTTGATCTTCAGTGGTGGTGGGTCGTCGGGCACTGTTGTTCTGTCGACGACGACGGTGACCACGTGGCAGTCCCACCTTATCTGTGAGTCCAGAGGGGTTGAGTCAGTTGTTTTTGGAGTGACAGCTTCTGGCTTTTGGATCTCGGCAGGAACTCCTTTGGTTCCCATCTTCCGGGCCTTGCCAGCAGATAAGAGGGAGCAGGGAGGCGCCCACTTGTATCTCGCCTTGTACCTGCAGGGTACAGTGGGATCGTCCCTCAATCTCCCACAGCAAGCTGGAGTCACTTGGTCACAGGCTAGATCTTCCGCCAGCAAACGGTCCTGAGCACTCTCTTGCGAAGGCAAACAGCTACAATTGCCCACACAGTGATGTTGGTTGCCCCACGGCAACACCCATCACTCATCTCCTAGACAAGTCAGTCTCATCACAAGAAATGCGTCTGGCAGCAAGCTTGGAGCCAGAACAAGGCTGCTTGAAACTGATGTGCAAGTGACCGTTCGTGGTGGTAAGGAAAGAGAAAAGAGAAAGGAAGAAAAGAGAAAAAGTAAGCGGAAGGGAAAAGAGGGGTGGGGAGGAAGGGGGGTTAAACGTTACACAGTTGTTAGAAAGGATTTCTTGGGCTTGGTTACAAAGGTTTCCCTGATGCGTTGGACTTGTTCATCATCAGTTGAAGTGGTTACAAAGCACATGGAGGATACAAGTCCTTGTATAAATTGAATCCACCATGGAACCACGCAAGGAACAAACACCAGAGTGGCAACGGCACCCAGAATAGGAGGCGTTTCACCCACGGGCAATTTGTTTAGCAACCTCTTCATTGCGTAACATTGGTGCCATCACTGCTGAGGAGTCACCGGGTGGTGTCTGTGGCAAATTGGGTGGCTCTAATTGTTGCCTACAAATTGGATGGCAATGAAGAAAAGGTAGAAAGTGAAAAGGGACAACCATACATTTGGCAACAGCCATGCATTGCACAAGAACCAGTAATGACAAATCAGCAAGCCAAAGAAACAGAGCTATTTGGCTCAGCTGCTTTCCCCAGCAGCCAGGAACTCCCAGCAGAAGCCAGGATCCAGGTGGGAATTCTTCAGCAGAGCTGTGGTGTTTCTCAGGAGCCGTACAACAGCACGCTTCAGTTAATTCACCAAAAGCGTACCTAGTCCAATCTGACAGTATGTGGACTTGCCATGGAGTGTTCTCTAAGATGATTTCGTGCCATGAGAACTCTCCACTTGAGCATTTCCAAAGCAATTCAAATGCTGGGAGAGAGAAATCCTAGCTTGGCAAGTTTGAGTACTGTTACAGTCTACAGAGGCTTTCACAGGAGAGCGTGTGCAGGATAGCCCACAGGAGGAAGCATCAAAGAGGAGTAATCCCAGAGACGTACACGTCTCCTACCAAAGCTTAGGCGCTTTCCAACAGCCACGCTTTGGATGGAGCTCCTGGACTGGTGTGACACTGAAAAGCATCAGTGCAAAAGGCTTTATGACACGTTTCCTTTGTGCCCACATCTGACACATATTAGATGGGTCCCCTGATTCATTTCCCAGTTTGTTAGGAATTTGGAAAGGCTGCGGAGGACTTACATGCCAGTCATGATCAGTTTGATAAAAAGGGGTGAAAGAAGGGCTCAAAAGAAAGGCTATCACTGTGCAGGGAGCACCAGGAAGCTAGGATGACCTCTAAGAACTCTGAAGCCAGTTGTGAAGTTTAACAGGTCCAAGGACCGATACCAATCACCACCCACACCCACAGCAACGCAAAACATAACACTGCTGCAACCAGAACGTGTCATCAAGAGGTGTATTCAGGATTCTAGCGTGATCGCATCTTCTGTCACAAACCACAGCTGTTAAAATCAGCTATCAGCCTTCCTGTGTCCAATCCAGGTCCCACGGGGATCTTCTGTAACATACAACAAGACACCGACTCGCCCTTCTGGGGCTTTGTTAATACGACTAACAAAGGAGGGCACAGTCCAGCAAGTGTTGCTTTTCTATTCCTTTCTCGGGGTGTCTTTAGCCTTCCAAGCACATTCGTTCAGGGATTCCATTAGGGTTAGGGAAACTGGCCGCAGGTTAGCCGGGTCAATCGACACAGGCTGGCCAGGGAGATAAGAGGCTTTCCCTAGCTTCTCAGCCACTGAACCGTGACTCCCAGGGATAAGTGGCAAGAGTGGTGAGGCCTTTGCACAGAAGGTGTTACGTCGAGGATCTCTTTGTTTCCCTTGGCTGTGAGCTTTCTCATGCATCCACCCCTCACCTGGGAGGGGCAAAGACAGCAGCTTTCTAATGGCTTGGAGAGCCGCTCGGGTTCCTCGGGAGAAGCCCTCGCACCTGGGCTTTTGCTTTCCTCCAGATTCCTGAGCTTCTGTTCCGGCCACCGCTCAACGAATGCCTCTAACCTGACAGTGGCTGCTCCGTTCATCAGATCTCGTGGAACAGCCTTGTGCCAGCCCAGTGTCCAGAGACAATTACGCTTATGATCGATATTTCGCCTCCCTGCTTTTACTGACAGTGAGACCCTCCCAGTCCCACTGAGCTTTGGGCTAGGTGGCCGGGGGGGCAAGGCTGGCCGCGGCAAGCCTCACTTCCCTTGGCTCCAATTTCCTGGAGGAAGAAACCGCTGGAAGAAACCATATTTTCTCCCGTAGTCAATTGACTCTTGGGCAACCTCCCCCCACGTCCGTGCTTTGTATCCCGACTGCAGATAGTTAGAGGTTACAGCCTCTTCTAACAGTGCCCGGCTTCTTTCTCCCTGAGACGTAGCCTGTATCTCATCTTGCAGCCTCTCAACCCACAAACTTTATTTTGTTTCCAGTGCTCTTCCTCACCCCCACTGTGGGGCAGGAGTGAGCAAATGGCTGTACAGTGCTTAACTGCCTTCTGGATTAATTCACAACAGTCCTTTTTTATGGCCCATCACCCTAACTTGTCCATGGAGTTAATTTAGTCCACAACATGGTCACCATCTGTCATTGGTGTGATACTAACACTGTCTCAACTGAAACCAGGACAACTGACTTCTGCCTGATGCAGTTCTATAAATTAACTGCAAGCAGTTTTCTGTAACATTTTGTTTCAAAGGCTACTGAGAGAGACATGTTCAGATGTGCAACTTTACAAGATGAATGTGAGATGTAACAGGAGTGACTCCATAACCTAAGGATGTTGTGTGCCTATGGCTTTCAGTGGTTCTGAAGCGCCCAGGTTAAAGCAGGCATCCTCTCAGGATCAACAGGCACCA